AGTTCCATGTGAGCTAGGATCTGGGGGGGGGGGTGTCCCTGCCCACATGGGGTGTCTGTCAGCTTATTTTCTTCAATCTAACTCTCAAGATTCAGATCACAAAGAATTAGGTTTTTTTTTTAAAAGAACAAAATAGCTGTTTACCTTTTTCATTGACACTTTAGGCTTTGTTTGACTGCTTCGGGCCCTGGTATAAGTATCCATGGTTTAATTGCTTTTAGTAGTCATGGAAGAAAGTCAGCTCAAAAATACCTACAGAAAAACATTTATCACATCATTATTTTGTGCTTCCCATTACCTAGCATATATTGAGAAAACTACTTTTGATGAAACAAGCAATGAATCCACAATTTTGTGACAAAAGATATCTTAAAACTGAAAGTTTAAAAAAAAATATTTCATCCATGCAGATGTTGCCTTTTAGATACTTCCCTTTAAAGTTTACATTTAGTTTCTTTTAAAGAAAAAATGTTTAAAAATCTTATAATTAAAACCAATATACTTCCCTTTAGTCAAGAGTGAGTGGGACAAGTTCCCTTGGTGAGCAGTGCCTGGGAAAATGACACACTACTTTATTTTTAACATTTCACTTTGTTGTCACTGAATGGCAATGAAACTTACCAGAATTGTGTCACTGTCATTATTGGTGCCGAATAATAATAATTACAATTTAACTGGCTGTGCACACATACTCAACATATCTATATTCAAATGCACGCTGGAGAACATAAGGAAATTTTCGATTGTGCATTCTGCACACATCTTTGTTAAATCAAAACAATTTTTTCCAAACCAAACAAAAACTTTAGTCCTCAATAATGAGAGGGATGAGGTTTTGGAGCAGCCTCTCAATAAGAGCTGTGCGGCAAATAACTTAGTTAGTTCTGAGAGAGAGTTGGACTATGAGAGTGTGATTGTATGATGGAGTTGCTTAGGATGATAGGGACAGGGCTCAACAGCCAAGGGGCTCACTTCCAGTTTATGTCTTAACATTCCTAAATGCTCATAATTCAGGGTTTCAGCCAGTCATCTGCCAGACTCAAGAAGGGATTTCTCCACCCGCCCCCAATGTATTCTGGAAGGGTTTTTTAAATCTCCCTCCTCTGAAGCATCAGGGTTCTGAGGTGTCATCAAGCATTCTCTCTTTCAGGTACTTGGTTGGCTGGTTCCAGCTTACATGCTAAGGGTCTAACTGATCGCCACAGGCTGGATCAGGAAGGAATTTTCCCTCAGGCCAGACTGGCAGTGACCATGGGTTTGCGGAGGTTTGGGGTTTTTTTTTTAAGCCTTCTTCAGCAACATGTGATTATCTGGGCATATCTCACTTAATCATTTCACTGCCAGAGCAGGGCTTCTGCCACTGGTGCACCTTGGTCCCTCCTATTTTCTGTCTGTGGCACATAACAGTCTAATACAGTGCTTCTCAAAGTCAGGCCGCTACTTGTTCAAGGAAAGCCCCTGGCAGTCCGGGCCGGTTTGTTTACCTGCTACGTCCGCAAGTTCGGCCGATCGCGGCTCCCACTGGCCGCGGTTCACCGCTCCAGGCCAATGGGGGCTGCGAGAAGGGCGGCCAGCACATCCCTGGGCCCATGCTGCTTCCTGCATTGGCCTGGAGCGGTGAACCGCAGCCTGTGGGAGCCGTGATCAGCCGAACCTGCGGACGCAGCAGGTAAACAAACCGGCCTGGACCGCCAGGGGCTTTCCCTGACCAAGCGGCAGATCGGCTTTGAGAAGCACTGGTCTAATATACTGTGGGCTGTAGTACTTTGGTCTAATTTTGGTTGTTGGGTTTTGTGAGCGGGTATTGGATTACGCTGAAGCACTATGATAGAGAGTGAGATCAGAATAGATGATCTGGTAGCCTTCACTATAACAACATTATGTCCATGTCAAGTTTCAAACCACAGCTTTTTTACAGCAGCATTATCTAAAGAGGTGTATACAGATTTTGAATTAAAAATGAAAGATTTTTTCCCCAAATCTAAAACAACTAAAGGAATTTTCCTCAAAGTTTCTGAAAAAAATTCACCTTTAGGCAAGGACCAAGCACGAAAAACTTCGATCTCATTATTGAACAGTTCAGAAAGTTATGAAAGGAGGGAGAAAACGTAAACTCTTACGCTATAACACCAACTTTAACAATCCTGGATTGGCAATAGGGTTTACTAGAAAGTCTAGAAGGTCTTTTCCATCTCCAATTTCTAATGATTTTACAATGTCTAATGTGACCTCTATCACTTTAAATAGCAGAGCTGGCAGCCTAGAAAAATTCTGCTCACGCATGGGGTTTTTTTTTGGGGGGGGGTGGGGGGGGAGACGAGACAGGCCTATAAATTGCGTTCACTATAATCATAGTAAAGGTTGGGTGAACAGATTTTGTCCACGGATTGGTACACTTTGGCTGTGGGAAGCAGCGCGGGCTGAGGGATATGTTGGCCGTGGCTTCTCGCGGCCCCCCATTAGCCTAGAGCGGCGAACTGCGGCCAGTGGGCGCTGCTATTGGCCGAACCGGCAGACGCGGCAGGTAAACATACTGGCTTACCCTGGTCAGCCGCGTGCCAAAGGTTGCCGACCCCTGGTACATAAACTGAAAGCAGGGAGAGTCAGTGTTTTTGACAATAAGCAGTACATCTCTTAGAAAGAGAACATACACCCACAAAATTAAAACTGAGGATAAATACACTAAACACTTAAAAATCTTTAGTCTATAATTTGGACTTGACCATTCTGCTATTTAAAAAAAATTAACAACATTAAGTTAGAAAACTGTCTCCACTGCAACTGCAGTCTATATTTTTCATGCTTTATCACAAAATATAACATTTTAGGGCATGTTCTAGCTGCATAATTACCTGTGAGGAAATGTTAAATTTAGTTACTCTTCTTCTGCCTTCTTAGAATTTTAAAAATAATCTCTCTTTCACCATTGTAAACACCAAGTCCTCATCTTTTCCCCCATGTTAATGACAGAGTCAAAATTAACATGGCTATTTTTGTTTATTTCCTGGTAGTGTACACAGATGATAACATTACAATCATAAAAATAGTATAGTGTTCTTTATTCATAAACTGCTTTAGTTAAAAATAAAGAAAAAAGCTAACAATGTTAGGAACCATTAGGAAAGGAATAGATAAGAAGACAAAGTATCATAATGCCACTATACAAATCCACTTTGAATACCGCATGCAGTTCCCATGGCCCCATCTCAAAAAAGATATATTAGACTTGGAAAAGGTACACAGAAGGGCAACACAAATGATTAGGGTGATGGATCAGCTTCCATCTGAGGAGAGATTCAAGAATGGGACTATTCAGCTTAGAAAAGAGATGACTAATGGGGGATATAAAAATCATAAATGGTGTGGAGAAAGTAAATAAGGAAGTGTTATTTAGCCCTTCTCATAACCCAAGAACCAAGGGTCATCCGATGAAATTAATAGGCAGTAGGTTTAAAACAAAAAAGGAAGTACTTCCTCACACAACAGACTATCAACCTGTTGAACTCATGGCCATGGGATGCTGCGAAGGCCAAAAGTATAACTGGGTTCAAAAAAGAATTAGTTAAGTTCCTGGAGAATAGGTCCATCAATGACCATTAGCCAAAATGGTGAGGGATGAAACCTTATGCTCTGGGTGTCCCTAACACTCTGATTACCAGAAGCTGGAACTGGACAACAGAGGATGGTTCGCTTGATAATTGCCCTGTTCTGTTCATCCCCTCTAAAGCATCTGGCACTAACCACTATCAGAAGACAGGATACCAGGCTAGATGTACCACTGGTCTGACCAAGCAGAGCCATCATGTTCTTATGCAGTACTAGCAAAGCAACCAGAAGAACCCTCAAAAATACTTTTAAATATTTTACAGTTTTCCTGAAGTAAAACGATAGATGTAAGCAAAAGTAAATATGTTTTTCCTACCCTAAAATATACATGTTTAAACCATTTTAAGGGAAGTCAAATGTTTGCTTAAACTAAACAAACCCTACTTGATCCATCTGTGAAAACTTCATAATTACCATCAGAGATGTTGAGAGTCGGGTTGCTTCTGGATATGAAATTTCAGATTATCATATAATTCTCTTTTCTTTTGCTGTCCATCCACAGTAAGAGTAAGTAATATCACTAATTTTTTTCATCATCAAGTGAATGGACTTCTACATTTTGTGTAGGACAGTGAAATTTCATAAGAAATTTACAAAGCTGATACAGCATGAATAGTTAGCAATATAATTAGGCATAAAAACAAGACATGAAAAATCCACTTGCCTACTCATACACACTGACTGGAGACCTTCCCCTGACAAATGGGTCCAATGTCACAAATTTATATATAATTTAGGATCTCAAAACCAAGTTTCTATCTATTTCCATTTTTATAGCGCCCATTACTATATCTAAGTGCTAATCCTTGGGGTTCTGAAAGAATCTTTCAAATGTGAACAGATGCAATGCTGTCTTCCTGAATCTGAGATGGACAGCTCCAATTCCTTGATTATAGCACTCATATCTTTCCCAAGAAGCAGCAAAGTGAAATTAAGAAGACTTATTTTTATTACGCTTAAACTTTATTATTTGTATTACAACAATACTTGAGAATTCCAGTCAGGATCCTAGTGTGGTGTACAGATGTTATTCAGAACTTAGGGGCAGAAGTGAAATTGGCTGCTTGGGAAAGTTACCAGCAGCCATGAGGCAGATACCACCACTAACAGGGATCAACTCACAAAAATAAAGTCTAGGAGAGCGAAATGGAAGGCTCTCTCCCCCCGCAGCCAGGAGGCCCAGACCTGACAGGCATGGAAAGGAACCAAAAGCCCTTCACTTATTCAGCAGTCAAATTTGGGGGGTGGGAAGAGATTTCACATTTACTCAAAATCCACTAACCATTAGCTGATCTAAAGATTAAACAGGTGCGGGGGGGGGGGGTTAGGACAGGCTCTGCTCAGACTCCCAACACCCTCGCACCTGCCAGCAGCTGGAGGGGGCCTTGCCCCTCAGGCTCGCTGACGGGTCCCCCAAACTAGCTCGCCATCCCCTGTTATGCTGGAAAGCCCCAGGGAGCGAGCCCAGCGCTGCTGCGACACGCACCAGGGCCGCTACCCGGGCCAGCTCCCAGGTCGGGGGTTTCTGCCGAGCGCTCCGCGCAGGGAGGCGGCAGCGATGCTCCCCTTGAGGTGATGGGGAGAAGCGCCCCCGGATCCAGCTGTTAGCCCTGGCTCCCTCCCCTCACGGGACCCGGGAAGGAGCAGCGCCTCCGCTGCACCCAGCGCGGATCGTTCCCATCCCCAAGCGCCTGCGCTGCCCGCCCGTGTCTGTCACGGGCAGCGGGGCCGGAGGCGCCTCGGGCGGGGTCTCGGGGGCGGCGGAGGGGGGAGGGCCGTACCTGACTCCGCAGCGTCCGGCGCCCGCAGCCATGTCACACCCCCTCAGCAGCGCACAGCCGCCGCGCTCGCTCCGGCCGCCGCAGCGCTCTGCTCTCCGCTCCGTCCCGCCCCTCCCCTCCACCGCTCTCGCGCGACTTCCAATCAACCGTCGCGAGGTTCGCCAGGCCGCGGTCTCGCGCACAAGCTACAGCGCGCACTAGGTCAGCAAAAGGTCATGTGAGAGTTGCCCTCGCCTCCTATTGGGCGAGGGGATAGCGCGAGTCCCCGCTGGACTGAGCGAGAGAACGCAGCGGGACTGGAAAGGACGGGGAAAGCGAGGTCAGCACGCGCCTCCCAACCCAAGCGCGGCTGAGACCAGTGGAGGCGGTGGGGGCTGAGCCCGCACGAGGGGAGCAGGGCACGTGCAGGGAGGCCGGCCCACGCGGGGGAGGGAGGATTCGGAGAAGCTCTGCAGAAGTGACAGCGCGCACCGTAAAAGGCCCCCACTGAGACACGTGTGGGCTTGAGCCTCGGACTGGGGGCCGGCCGGCTGGACGGAGAAGAGGCACCCTAGTGCATCAGACATGGGGGCCAGGAGCATCCCTGCCACCAGTAGGCTACCCCATGCTGCAGTGATCAGTCAAGGTGGGGGCTGGTTAGCTGTTTCAGCCCCTCTCTTCAGGCAGGTGGAAGTTTGTGTGTCACTAGCTCCTACTCCCAGTCAGATTAATTCAAAGGCTGCAAAAAAATGGCCATGGGTCAGCAAAAGACAACCACCAAAGCCAGCCAAACGCCAGTCTTCTAATAACCCCATACCAGTGCACAGAGAACGCTGAGACTCCCACAGGCTTCACAAACAATAGGGCATTGAGAAGAGGGGACCTGTACTGACTCCCACACAAACACTCCCTTCAGCTCTAGCCAGGCTTTTGATCTCTCTTCTCCCCCATGCCTACCTCCCTGTGTTTAGATGTCCTTAGGGGTAGGTTAGGGTAAGGGCCGGCTTTAGGCCAATTCCACCAATTCTCCCAAATCGGGCCCCGCGCTTAAGAGGGCCCCGCGCCCAGTGGCAGGGGCGCCCAGAGTGGGGGGCAAGGGGCAGGGGAGTCCTTTCCCGGGGAGAGGGACCG